GATAAAACTATTATTACCATTGCATAAAGCTTAAGTTATTAAAATCACTTAGAATAGCAAATAATCCACTTACATAACACTATTGGCATAATATATATCCAAAAAATTGACGACCACGGATTCGCAATCACATACTACCGCAAAAACACATTGACCATCGGAATCACTTGATATTTGCGCTTCAAGGCAATTATAGAGTTGGCTGTGGTATTCTCCATGGACCTTATAAGAGATAGACTAACCCAGTAGGCGGGACGCGCGTCACCGACATGTCCGCAAGGAAGTGTAGGAACGATCTGGTTTACTTTAACACTGAAACCTATGGCGTTTGTATCATATAATTGTTTTTAATTATTAAATGTGATATGCTATATAGTAATGAGGCTATGAAAGTCACAGTTTTTTTCAAATAGAATTTAATACATCTCATTAAAGCACTTTTTACTGCATTTCGCGCATTTTTTTCACGAGTATTTCTTGTATAAACATCTTTACTTTGATAAAACGGTAAAAACTCTAAGCACAAAATCTATGAACTTAATTTTGTGTAAAAATAAAGTAAAATTAAATAAGATTGATAGTACGTGATGCTTTGAAATAAATAAAGTAAAATTAAACAAGATCTGATAATTTTTTAAAAATTTAATGAACATTTTCAGGCGGTTGTTTTCAAAAGTATAATAACATTACAAAACGATTATTTATTTGATTATGTCATCATTAAATTATTAACATTAAAGTGGATTATTTATTTTAGTAATTTACAAAATTCGGACCATAAAATTTTCTGAGTGTAATTAAGGTAAAAAAAAAAAGATAAAATAAAATCTAGAAGCACACAGATTTTTTATATTACGCCCAAAAGGAACCTCTTTAACGTTTTGTGTGTTACCTATATTTATTGAATATCATGTTCTTCTCCCGTAAACCACATATGAAACATCGCCCGTAACATTTGAAAACAGCATATCTTTAGAATTTCCGCACTGGAGATAAAAATGTTATTTTCCGTACAGTGTTGCCATTGCTTGCTTTAAAATCATTGAATTTGTTAATAAAAAATTCCGTTAAAGTTTTACAAAACATGAAATAGATAAAAAAACAAATTCGAAATTCGGCCGTCCAGATGCCCATGTTCGGGTGGAGGATAACATTATTCAAAATTTGATAGCTCTAGATACCGTCGTTTTTGTCACAGTGTGAGAAATATACATATATTCATGCAGATTCTTCATTATTTAATTTCTTTAAATATAATACAGGGCAATAATATTTGGTAAAAACAATTTGCAAGGAGGCACGGACAGTTATAGTGAAACAGCGCAAAATGTCGCGTCGAGCTAATAAATTAAATTAACCGAAATAAAAAAAAAATTATGCGGAACTAAAATTAAATTAAAAAAGTAATCACTGTAAAATATAAGCAAAATTAATTATTATATTATACAATTTTAATATTAGAATTAAATGTATAAAAATTAAGGAGTCAAAGTGTTTAACACTATGATGTATTAATGAAATATAATTGAAATAAAATTCCTTATAGAAATTGTGCTATAATACTCATCTTAATTTAAAAAAGCAGCACAATTTAGAATTTTAAAAACAAAATTTTCAAAAATTCGTTTTTAAATATTTTAGTATTTTTTACTTATTTACACCAATAAAAAGCATAAAAATTGCTTGTTTAAAATTTTCTATTAGTTCAGATTAAAAATATTATTTTCTAAAGGAAGTAGTTACAAATTTCCTTACATCATAGGAAAAACTAAAAAAATATCCAGCTCTGAAAGCATGCAATAGCTCTATAATTATTTGGAACGCTAATTATGCTTGATAAATATGCTAAATATTTAAAAATCAATCTCAGTTTCAAAAATAAAAATATGAAGAAATTCTTATTTGTGAAATGAGGCGCTACAACCAGATTTTCTCGACAATTATACACGCTGCAATAGGCAACCACTGTGAAATTTCTGCAAGTCGTCCCTACTCCTCCGGATGTAATCAAGGTGACAGCCCGGAACGCGTCAGACGAGGGAGAAAACCCGTTTGGGTTAGTCTATTTCTTATAAGGTTCATGAAGTAATATATATTACGTAAAGTATGAGCACACAAGAAAATCACACTTATTAAAAATGTTTCTAATAAAAATCACATTCATATCAATGTACATTAAAAGCATTGGACGATTTAAAATGCATTAGAACAAAACTTCAGCAAACCAGTTTAAGCTACGAGTACTGTTCCAAAAAGAATAATTAAGTCGCTATTATTATATTTACTATTAAATTGGTTTGTGTTTTATAAACCCCTATCAAGAATACGCTTATTATAACTTATTAAAATAGACAATTGATTTTCTAATTTTTATCTGACTTATTGCTTAAGTAATGTGATTCTTTATATGCAATTGCATGTAATTCAGGTTAACTGAATGCAGTACTATTCGTCGAGCGAATTAATTGAAAGTTTTTAACTTGCCGGTTTTATGCATCTACATAATCATAAGTAAATTTATTTAAATACTACAAATATTTTGAAATGCTATTTTTTAATTGAATTCACAAGCATTTTGCATATTTCTGAGCATTTAGTTTGAAATCTCAAGGGTATTTTATGAAAATGTTATCTGTTTAAACATAGTATTGGGAAATTTTTACACGCTGCTTATTTATTTAGTGAAGAATGTTCGCGTCATTTTGTCGTATGTAAACACTTTCTTGGCGATAAAACGTAGAGGTCTAAAAAGAAGAAGAGCAACCCTCTTAAACTCCTACTGAGAGTTGTCATTTAGAGATCTCCAGGGTTCCAGAAATAAGGGGGGATGGGAGACATCTGCACGGCCGCTTTAAGGCGGTCATAACGCTTTGAGGTCTTCCCATTGACGCCTAGAACCGTCAGTAACGCTTTCGAACACTTTTCCAGTGACCGGCTAGAAGCGTCGGTAACACTTTCGAGGTAGGCCGTCTTGACCGCCTAAACCCGGTCATAACGCTCAGAGGGTTAATCACTTTTTCTTCAGGCAGAAGAAATGTATGGGCTTTAAGATGTGTTTCTTCTATGATTTTGCGAATAAAGCGGTGAGAGTCAGCATCTGGGGGTTCAATTTCCTTTAAGAGTGCCCATTATCTTTCTTCCAGTTTGATTACTTAAATTTGCAAGAAATTTGTCAGCTTTAACAATATTATCCACTATTATGGGTGGAACTCCATTTTTCTGAGTTTTATTTTCAGAGAATTTTTTTGGGTAGTTTTTGGAATAGTGGCACGTATAGATGGTTGACTAGAAGTGGGTTGGTGGTCTTCTTCAGTATCATCTAAGTTCATTGAGTCATTATCGGTTTGGAGAAGCTGAAATTTATTATTAGTTTTAAGATTTGGTTCATCATTTTCGCTCTCAGAATCTGAAGACTTTCTTAGTTGATGTTTCCGTTGTTTACGGAATCCACCTCCAGTTTGATGAGCTTCTCAGTATTGTTTCAAGTCGTTTATTTGTTTCTGTAAAAGTTCATTAGAACTTTTGAGTTCGTTGATAGTTGTAGTAGCTTGAGCATTTTCTTATTCTCGTAATTGGTTGATGGCTTTTGCAAGTAGCAGATGTAGTTCTTTGATTGTTTCGGGTGGAGATCCAACATTTGTTTGACTTAAGGCATTTTCAAAGTCGAGTACAACTTGCCTTGTGGAGTTAGCATTATTCGATAAAGTTATCTTGTGACTGAGGATGTGAATAAACTGAGGATCTGCTAAGGATTTCGTGTAGTCATGATCAGAAGTTTCATGTGAGTGTGCTGAATCCTCCATGTTCGTTGTATGCGCAAGCGCGGGGTCTAACTGCAATTTCGACCTGACATCAGCACAAGATGTCATGCGCAAGAAGAAAAGAGTAAAAGAAGTTGCAATCTACTCTACTAGAAGACTCGAAACGTCTCAGTAGCCTCGCAACTGAATTTCTCGCTAGACCTCTGGCCGCAGTTGACGCCGCGACTTGGAGAGAACAAACGAGTTATAAGAGAAAGAGATCCAACGAGTTTACTTGCCGAGAAGCAGGGACAGCAGCTGTAATCCAAAACGAGTAGAACGGCAGGTGTGATGCTGGAAGGTAGGTGTGATCCACAAGGGAGAAGCGACGCAGACGAAAATTCGAGCGGGAGCAACAGGCAAGATGAAAAACAACCTTCTCGTATGACGGCACAAGCTCGAATGTTGACGGAAGTAATTATCATGTGAGGAATAGGTGCTAGGGAGAAAAGGAAAATACATGGGGAGAAACGGGATTAAGATGTGTTTATATTTGTTTGATATCTGATTGCTAATTTAGTTCTGTTATATATTTCTAAATTAGCATTAAAAGTCGAGTAATGTGCGTCTATTGCAAAAACGCAGGGCAATTACTTTTCGATCCAATTTTATATATATATTAATATATCATATTCCTGCTCATATGATCTACATATGTATCAGATAACTAGCTACTTGGACACTTATTTCTGGATGTGTATTATTTTACAACTTTTTCTGCTTTGAAAACCCAAGTATTGAAACATTATATGTATGCTTGTGAAAATATTATTTCAGATATTCTCGTATAACTAACTATACTATAATCTCATATTATTCAGTTCTCATATAACTACGATAGAATTTAGAATTTCAATTTTAGAAAATATCAATGTTGCCAAAATATTAAAACTTAAAATAATGCTCTATAAACAAATACTATCACATCTTTCAAGCATTGGAGACTCTTGATATAACTATTAAAAATACAGTAAAAGGACTAGACATCACATTGTAAATTGGTGGCTCATTATTAGCCAAAAGATAGGGCACTGCTGAAATGGGCAGTCAAAAATGTATTTTTCTACTAGGTGTTATTTATGGCTTATAGACCAGTTCGAACCAGTGCTTTCTTTCTCCCTAAGGACACAATCTCATGATAAATGGGTCAAAACTTAAATAAGCCAACATTTTAGCATATAGAAATTTGGCAACTTGTTTAAATCGCTGTTTGTTGAAGAGAAATCTGGCAATATTAACTCCACGTACTTTTTATGAATGTTTATATTTTGATCAAACTTTTGAGTGACCACTTTTATTATTCTTAATTCTGCCTTGGATACTGGTATTTTATTCCCCTATTTTCGGCAAGTATCTTTTCTTATCCCAAGTTATGCATTTGAAGCATTCAAGCGCCAAATATGTTATTTTATCATTTATAAATGGTCAAATTAAGTATAAAGATGAAATGATCACCCCACTGAAATAGTGAGTTAGGGTTATTCTCTTTCTGGATGAAAGTACGTAATGCATGTCGTTAGAAACTTTTTCTGTTACTTGCGTTTATGCTGTAAATGCGTATGAGGTTAAAGTAAAAAATAAAATTTAAAAAGAATTAAAAACTCAGTGTCTTTAAACTAAACAAAATTCACAAATTTTATAATTTTTAAATCATCTCAAAGTCAAATCTCAGAAAATTTCAAATCATCAATTTCATATCATCTCAATGTAGTTTAGTGTGCGAATTAGAATTATTATTTGCTTATTAAATCTGGTTTTTTCAACCTTAGAGAGTATTTTGAAGTCAGCTTTATGAAAAGATATGCGCAAATATTCTCAACTAATAAGAGTTATTTAAATTAAGAGCAATATTATAGAGAGGTCATTGTGGGCAAATGGCCTAAAATAATGAAATTCTACTTTGTTGGTTTTAAATATTACGGTGTTTGTCTGGAACTCAACTGTTGTAATATTCCAATTCTGCAGAAGAAAAAGCGATGCAATAGTATTTATTTTCAGAGGTCATATGAAGTGTTAGAGGAGTTGTATTCATTTTGTACATTATATTTCTTTCTGTCGTTTTTTTTTTCCTTTTCACCAAAAATTCGGCATCCATGTACACGTCGACCTATTTTCACTTAAAAAAAAAAAAAAAAAAAATCCCAGAATTGCACAAAAATAGCATTACGCACTCCCTTGACTTTATCCATGTACACATCAACCTATTTTCACATAAAAAAACACCAGAGAATTGCACGAACTAGGCTTTGAGCACTCCTTTTGTCCATGTACACATTAAACTATATTCACTTTAAAAGTCAAAGGAGCAGCCAACAAAAAAATATATAATCTTAATAAACTACATTTTAAATCAAACAATGGAATAATATAAAAAAGGAAATTTATCTTTCCACTTTTTTTATTTACGAATTAACACGTCTTCAGTCAAACAAAATTCCGTAACAGCATTCAAAAACCTCCTAAAATTATCTGAGCTAGAGTCTGTAAACTGATGCCGGCACATAAATTCACAAAATAAGAGTGGTTGATCTTTGGATTATGGTAACTTGGCGAAAATTTGGCGACAGCAACCCTCTATATTTTTTTCGCCGCCATTTTGTCTTCACGAAGTAAAGACATGTTTCTTTTCTTTTTATTTACTGAACACTTTTTCCAACAATCTACTATCCGAATTACACTTATGCTAGAAATTTTATGTAACAAAACTGCTTAATCATGACAAATATTAACTGCAAAATTGGGAAAAAGTGCACAATCGCAAACTCCTTGCGCGTTTTTCAGAATAGCACATACACATAAACCATTTACACGTCGACTTATTTTTACTTAAAAAAAATTCCAGAATTGCTCAAAAATGGCATTGCACACACTCTTAACTTTATACATCTACACTGCTATTTTCTCATAAATTACAAAAATTTGCCCGAAAATGCAAAAAAAATTCTGTGAATCTTTAAACTCGGTAAAAAGCACATATATGAAATTACCTGATTTACTGAAAAATTACCCGAAAAAGTATATACCCTTTCCAAGGATGAACATTTCTACGTATAAAATAAATTAAAATATCCAAAAACTTTTACCTCTAAATTACCTATTATATTATAAATGTCAACAACGAATTCATACCGCAAACATTACAAATGGTTACAAATACTTAGTGTCAAATATTTAAATTACTTCCATGCACGTTTACTTCAACTGAAACATATACCAAATTCCTACAAACATAAAATTCACAAAATAACTATCATTTAATTAAAATATCACTAAACCATGTACACAGTGACTTATTTTTACTTAAAAAAAATCCCAGAATTGCACAAAAAATGGCATTGCGCACACTCTTCACTATATCCATGTACACTGCTTTTTTCTCATAAATTAGAAAAATTTCACGAAAATGCATGAAAATACTCAAACGTATTCCAAAATACTACAAACATATAACTCACAAAATCATGATCATTAAATTAAAATATAATTAAATTAAAAAACACTACTTTAAATAAGTTTATACATTAAATTAATAAAAATTAGATTACAATCCTAATTACTTTAAACTAAATCATTGCTAATAACAATTTTCCAATAATATCATATTAATTTATTTACTCCTTACATTTAGAACAATGCATAAAAATAATATCCTCAAATGATTAAAAATACTAACTTACCTAATCTTCAGAATCTTCATTACGTGGCACGCACACTTCCACTATTTCACACAACACACAATGAAGCTTAATACAAAATAATATAGTACTACAGTTTTCCAAATTCCCCTTTTTTCCAATTAAAGAACTGTAATTCATCCATTAATGTCACATGACATATCTCATGATCTCTCATTTCCCTCATACAAAATAATACATAATCGGAACTAAGTACTTCTCACATTATTACCAAAGTCCTAGGTAGTAACCTTTATCGCCTCCAAAATGTCGCCAAACTACCAGTTACCATATTCCAAAGATCAGCCATAAGAGTAAAAAATATTCTCCGTAGCAACGTTTCTACAAACAGTACACCTGATAATGACTACTAAGTAAACCTTTATTTACACACCAGTCAAGTAATGCTCTTTTCCCCTTTCTTTCCAAATCATACAGAAACTTCAAATTAATCTTACCACATTCTGCCCTTTTTCCATCTAAACCACAAAATAAGCAATATACTTCCTAACCAACACACACACAAGCCCTTACGAATTTACTGCAATCATGCAACCAATTATGTCATAATAGGGTTTCTATAAAATTCAGCTATTCAGCCTATCATAAATGAAACAACAACTTCGCAATAATACAAGGGATACCTTTCTCTCTACTCTAATCTGAATTTTTTAAGCATGAAAATATTCTTTTTTTTTTTTTTCCGACAGAAATATGTCTGAGCAACCTGGTGAGGATAAGAAACCCGACCTCAGTAATATACCAAGAGGTGCAATTGGAATTAAAGGCTTACCTATCAGCCGCAATACTAGGTGAGCATTGAGAAACTAAAAATATTCTAATATTTTTTTGTATTTTTTTGCCTTATAGTATTTTGTTTTATTGTACTTACAGAGGCTGTTCACACATTTTTTAGACGATGTATATTGTATTCACAAAACTAAATTACATAAAATTCTTATGTTTTAAATGTTCTATTTGACTTCCCTTATTTTTAACTATCTTTCAACATCGCAATTTCCAGGATAATAATGCCTTTTGAAGTGGCAGAAGAGGTATTCTATCCCATTCCTCCCGAACAGCTTTCCAGAGTCCTGTTAGGATTTTGGGACAACGTTTGGATAATGCAGTTTTTAAAAGTCCGAAAGCACAAAAATTCATAGGTGACACATCGGGAGATTTAGTAGGGACATCAGTGAAGGGTATGGCCTTGATATCAGTTTTTGTTCCATTTCGTTTAGGAAATTTACAGTGGATTTTGATGTGTGACTGCTAGCTTTGTCCTGATGGAGTCTCACAGATTGATGGCACTGTGGGTAAAGCGAGGGTATTTCATTCAGAAAAATTGGCGATAAAATATGTTACTGATAGTATTTGGAGTTAATCTTGACATTTTTTTGCACTCTCTTTATTTTTAACTTGCCATTATAAGAAAAACCAGCAACAATCATGAATCCCTTAGAAAAGCTTTCTTTCGATTCTTTGAACCATGTACTTAAATTTTTTTTCTCCCTTTTTCTGATAATAAATGGCTCCTTTTTTGTTACAGTCATTTAAATACACCCATGCTTCATCTATTGTGATAATTGTTTTCCATTTTTCTTTGGAAAAGTGTTTCTCATATAGAATTCTGAGCGATATGCTTTGGAAGAAGACGATGCACATTGCATTTTTTCGCTTTCTTAAGATTTAAATCAACGTTTATCATTTTGTTTACAGTGGACACCAAGCATTTTAATAATTTTGCAACTGCCCCTTGACTAAGGGGATTTTCTTGTCACGTTAAACAACGTAAGCTTTGCAATAGTCGAAGATGTCCGTTTTTCCTTGGATAATTGTTTGGAATTTTCGTCCCACTTGAGGCTCCAATTTGACATTTTTTTTCCTTTCATGTTGATTATATTACCTATCGACGCTTTAAATATCACAAAACCATGACTCTCACATCGCTTTTGGATAACGGAGTATGCATATTTCTCTTCGGAAAGAGCGTAAGTGTAGCCTTCGAACCACTGCTTTGTTAAATTCGCCATTTTGAATAAAAACAAAACTTCCAAGCCACAGACGATAATTTTGACTTTTAAAAACATAGTACAGTTGCAATTACTTCTTTTGCATTAAATGATTTTTTATTACCGCTTACAAAAATCGTCTAAAAAATGTGCGAACAGCCTCTGTAATTAGGCTTAAAGTATAATTATATAATTAAATTGTATCAATAAATATACATAATGAAAATAGTAGTTGATTGTTTTCTCTAATTCAGCAAGAAAATTTGATCTTAATGTATGGTCTTTTGTGCTTATAGCTTTTTTCTGTTAATCTAAACTTTTCACGTCATTTGCTAGATATAAGTATGATATAAAGTCCAAAATCTGGACATCCAATAAGCGAAATAATCTCCAGACCGGCAGATTTTTTTAAATTTTTTTTTTTTAACTCTAGGAAATAGTAAAAATAGAGCAGGTGTGTCACAAAACTGATTTTTCTCCTGGCTAGCTCAGATTGTCACTGCTGGCTAAGGAATTGCACAGTGGCCAATGATAATGCATTAAATGGGTATACTTAAATACCTGCATTAAAACTGCCATGCAGTTGCTAATTCGTAGTAGCTATTTTCAATTGTTTCAGTTGATCACATGAAGGGGTCTGAGAGGTTGAAAATTCCTCAGGTAGTGTGCTAAGAGAATTTAGAAAAAAGGAGCAATTTTGCCTCAAGAATGTCACTACTTCATTAAAAGGTTATCTAGTCGGCACAAGAGTAAGTTCTGCTAGAGACGGAATAGGCAACCTGGGTTCAGAGGACATGGCTTCTGGAAAGAACACTGAACACATGATCTTGAGAAACAATCAGGAGCAGTGTTTAATAAGCAGCAGCATGAAACTGAGGAAAGTATATAAGCCTATAAGATGATGAGTCTAACTTTGTGGGTTAAGTCCACTATTAAAATAATTACTTTTATGTTTTCAACATATAGAAGGTCATCAGATGGCATTGCTTAAGAACTTTGCATTTTATTTTCTCTTTCTAAGGACTTAGGGTATTGATTGGGTGAATCTGCAGGGCGATCTAAATCTGTAATAATACAGGGCGAATCTGAACAAATGGGCAGAACTTTAGGGGTAGCAGCTAGGTGGCGTTGTAAATGGTATGAAAGTGCCGGTCCTCGCACTTAGTGGCATTTTCTACTGTGGATGGCCAAGAGGTTGGCTTCTTACACAAAGCATGAAATGGCCGATATGCAATTCATGTATGGTGCAGTGGACGGGAGTCCAATTCAATCATAGAGACTTTACCAGGACCAATTTCTAATGAGGCGAGCTCCAGATCGGAAAACGTTCAAGCATTTGAATTGGCAGCCATGTGAAATGGGATCCTTCACTGCAGCCAAGCAAGAGGCAGAGCATGTAAGGAGCGTCAGGACACTGCAACTTGAAGGAGACATTCTCCGTAGGATGAAAGATCAACCGGGATGTAGCACGCGAGCAGTTTTCTGTGCTGTAAATGTGTCCCAAATGATGGTTTGTCATATGCTGCAGGAGGAAGGAATGCACCCCTATCATACACAGAAGATACAAGCATTGTTACCAGCCACATGTCGATTTTGCACGTTGGTCTGGATATCAGTACACATGTTCTGTTCATGTACAAGTGCACTTTTATCTATGAGGATGTTTTTAATACCCACAAATTACACACATGAGCTTCTGTGAACCTGCATGCCACATGTCGTCATTCGTTCCAATGGCAGTTCTCCATAAATGTTTGGGCAGGATCCTCCGTGATCATTTGATTGACCCATAACTCCTGCCACATCATCTGGATGGTGAATAGTATCACACATTTGTACAAGAGGTGCTGCATCCTATTCCAATACTCCCCATCAAGTCGAGAATGTGGTTCCAGCAAGATGGTGCACCTGCACACTTCAGCTGAGATGTATGGAATACTTTAGATGCAAAGTTCCGTGGGCAGTGAATTGGTCAAGGTGATCTCATAGCTTGGCCAGCAAGATCACCAAATCTCTCGTATTTGGACTTTTCCTGTGGGGCTATATGAAAAGCCTAATCTACGAGTGCTCCGTTGAAACTGATGTGGATCTAGTCGCCAGGATCGCCATTATTGGGTGGCGATAAATAAAGCAAGTTTCACCATCCACCTTTCGGATGGCAGGGTCTGAGTTTGGCATCTGCTTGGAGAATGTCTCCTACCAGAATATGTTATGCCATGGTAAAGTTCAGTAGAGGTGGAATTATGATCCAAGGGTGTTTCTTCTGATATGGGCTGGGACTCTTGGTCCAAATTCATAGAATGGCAGCATGCTTCCTATGTTGTAGCAGTTTTACAAGTTGGACCCATGTTACTTTCAGGACAACAATACCAGCTGTAATATTGCGAGGTCCTCCGTGGATTGATATGGTGACTATGGGGTTGACTGAAAGGACTGGCATGCCCAGAGCCCAGAACTGAACCGTATTGATAACTTCCGGAACAAGTTAGATCCTCAAATTAAGGTGTGCAACAATCGTCGAACATTGGTGAAGGAAATTGCATGTCTGCTCCAAGTTGAGTAGAAGAAAATACCAGTAGTTATCACACAAGCATTTGTGGAAGGCATGCCGTGAAGGGTTGAGGCTGTAATTACTGCTCGTAGAGGCTCTAACAACTACTGGATATGAATACATTTTGTTTTTCTTTTCTGTCACAGGTGTCCAAATACTTATTGGCAGATAGTGTAGTGAAAGAAATTTTTTAAACAGTTCTATATTAGCTCTGAACATTACATATGTTAACATATTTTCTTTTTTCAAAAAAATGGTTGGTACTTTCTGATTATCCACAAAGTTGGCATCTTTTTGGCATATAAGTTTTTGCCAAACTAATATGTGAAAGGCAACAGCTATTTCGAAAATGACAGTGCATTAAGTATTCCATAAAAGAGCATTGAACCAATAAAATTGAAAAAAGCAATAAACATCCATAATAAGATATTTACCTTTTTTTAAAAAGAATCCTTATTTTATTATTTTTTTTAATTAAGGAATGGAATTAGGAAATTAGTTTAAAGTAATTTTAATATTTTAATTTAATGTGTTTTTATACTACACTGGTTGTCATAAATTAAAGAAAAATCACAAAAATAACGATAACTCCCTCAAAAATAAGCCAAACCATGTAAAATTTGAATATGTTGCCAATTAAAAAATGCTGAGTAAAACTGCAATATGTAAATTAGTGGCACTGCTTTCGGAATATGTCATCTGCGAGGAGCATAAAAGTCCATGTTTGAGAGCAAGTCCACATATTTCACTGTGACAGTGACATCAGAAATCCGAGATAGCCAATTCGTAACAATGACCTCCAGGCATCATTTGCCTGCAGAACTACGATGGAGAGCCATTGGGAGACTGGAGGCAGGACAAAGTCAAAGAGAAGTGGCCGGATGGCTAAATGTAAGTCCTTCTGTGGTTCATAGACTTTGGAGGCAATTTCAAACCACAGATTCGGCATCTAGGAGGTTCAGCCTAGGACGGCCAACTGCAACGGCGAGCGCCGATGACCGATATTTGACATTATGTGAATGCAGGAATAGAACTGCTACTCCGACTCTTCTTAGATCCTCCCTTGCTGCAGCCACCGGAAGGTTCGCGTCAACATCAACTGTGCGTAGAAGGCTTCACGAAGGTGGTCTGTATGTGAGGCAACCAACCATTTGAGTGCCGCTCACGTCACGCCATAGGAGAGACTGTTTTCAGTGGGCAACTGCAACGACGAGCGCCGATGACCGATATTTGACATTATGTGCATGCAGGAATAGAACCACTACTCCGACTCTTCTTAGATCCTCCCTTGCTGCAGCCACCGGAAGGTTCGCGTCAACGTCAACTGTGCGTAGAAGGCTTCACGAAGGTGGTCTGTATGCGAGGCAACCAGCCATTTGAGTGTCGCTCACGTCACGCCATAGGAGAGACCGTTTTCAGTGGGCACGACAACATGTCCACTGGACACCTGATCAATGGAGGGCGGTTCTCTTTATGGATGAGTCCAGGTTTAGTCTAGAAAGCGCTAGTAGGCGTTATTTGATATGAAGAAAACCTAGAACCCATTATCCTCTGTCAAACATCCGTGAAAGAGATGCATACGGAAGGGGCAGTGTCTATGTTTGGGGTGGCATCTCTTTGGGTGGACGCACAGACCTCCATGTCTTTCTAAGGGGAACTGTGAATACTCAGATTTATAGAGATGACATCCTTGATGTTTATGTGTGTCCATATGCCAGGGCAATAGGTGATGCTTTCCTGTTACAGGACAACAACGCAAGACCACACAGGGCTCGCATCATAGATAATTATCTTCAACAGGAAACAATTATGCGCATGGAGTGGCTGAATCCTATCGAGCACGTTTGGGATGCTTTAGGGAGACTTCTAGCTGCTCTCAATCTGCCTCCTCAGACCCTTGTCATGCTTGCAATTGCTTTGCGAGAGCAATGGCTCTCGTTTCCTATGGAACTGATAGACCACATAATTGAAAGCATCACATATCTCTGTATTACTTCTAGAGGGGATCATATTCCATATTGAAGGTACTTTTCCTATAGCAAACTGACACCTTTGATTTGCTCATTTTATACATGTGCTAATTTCTATATTACCATATTTGTCTGGTAATTATTTTTTATGTTATTTGATATCTTACTATGTGTTGTATATATTGTGGGTAAGTTTCATTAAATTCTACATGTAACTTTTTCAATAATCGTGATTTTTTCTTAATTTATGATAACCAGTGTATTTAAAGATAATTTCTTATATTTTTATTACTTTATTTCAGATTGCCATCAATTAGGAGCCCTAGAGATCTGATGCTAGGAGCTCAGCCTAAAAGGACTTTTGTACCAAATATTCCTGTCCGAAGAGAAAAGAAACCACTTGTGTAAGTGTGTAAGCAGTTAAATAATTCATACTGTTCATGAAAATTAGATAGTTGTAGGCATAGTAGTGTATTTGATTACACAAAGCACATGAGGCCATTTGCCTAAGGGAGATGCCATTGTGGAGAACTTTCTAAGAAAACTGGCTCTTATACTTGTGACACATGGGGAAAACCACAAAATTGCCCGTGCTGCCAACTTGTTTACCTAGATTCGAACCCCGGATCAAACTACTAGTGGTCAGTGACTTTACCACTTGTGGGCCAAATAATTGTAGGATGCATTTATTTAGCTTAATGAAGGGAAATAAAATAATGCAAATATGTTTTAAACTGTATACTTATAAGAAGAGATTTAATATTCTCTTCATTCTCATATGTAAGAATCAATTAATACAAAATATTAATGCAAAATTAAAATATTTTAATATGCTGAGTGCTGTTTAATAAAATATGCATTTAAATTATTTTTAGATATCTGTACTAAATATATGTTGGCAAGTTTATAATATCCACAATATAATAGTTTATAATATCCACAATGCTGCTTTTTTCGCTCTTTTTTCTCATAACATTGCCATTCATAATTTCCATCTTTTTATTTCTGCCCAAGTATAATGTCACAAGGTCAGTTCCTTCATCATTACTTTTCTGTTAATCAGGGTTATGTTATTTTGGGTTTGCATACATTTGGTATTCAGATATCCTGCTTTTATGATCGAAAATTGTATCAAGTGCCGTAATCTGTCAAACCCTGAATCTACTTATTTGAATGAAGATCAATTAATTAAATTTAATTAAAAAAACTCATCTGCATTGCTGATTATTCGCATGGAATAGTGACCAGTGTTAAGAAATTCAGGTATAAATAATGGAATTCATCTCTATGAATTAGCAGAACTTTGTAAAGCAAATATTAATCAGTGTTAGTTCTGCATCCACATTTACTTTGAAAAAAGGAGGGGCCAGAGAAATGCTTCTGATTAGCTTACACTGTTATATTGAATATGATATGCCATCAACATGTTTTAAAAATACAGTCATGCATGACAGTTAGTCATATATATTTAGCAAATATTGTGAAAATATTATTAATCTTTCATTATAGTTGCTTATATTTTTATAAATTGCTAGCTGTTTTTAAACTATTGACATGATTAATTTTTTCTTTTTCTTTTCTGTCAACAATGTACTGTGGTTCAGGGCTTTGGCAACACTCTCAGTTGTGAGGACTTCAAGCTTCAGAGAAGCCTCCATCTTACATAAATATTAATAAATATGCTGATTTTGCCTCTGAAACAGTACTTCTGTTCTTTAATTTTTTTTTTTTAAATCTTACCTGCACTGAAATTCCAATTAAAAAATAACAATGTAATAAAATTAGAAGAGAATAATGCATTGCTATATTTGTGGTTCAATTGGTAATATGATTAAAAAACTGATAACAAAAGTCTTTTGTTTGGCAGAATGCTTAGTATTTTACCACTGTGTATGTTATTCTGTTGTTCCTTTACATATAATGGCATGAAAGTGGGGTCTCCAGACATGATTTTCACTGGTGTTGCCAAGATCCATGAGATCTCTAAAAATCCATCATTTGCTTCTGTAATGCCAGTGATAAAAGTGAAATGCCTCCAGGTTAGCCTATTCTGATAATGCAAACAAGGATCAAATAGTGAACTTACAGTTTCTATATTTGTTCTTCGAGTTATGCATATGCATCTCTTAAATGTCTGCTAGAACTTCATTTTGTAAATCAAGTGCTATATACGAGGGGATTTGATGATGCACACGAAATCAGTTTTCATAGGAAATGGTATGTATAGTTAGCAAATAAAAATATTGATTAATTAATCATGAAAAAGCACTTTGGGGGGGGGGGGGGAGAAGACACCTAAACATTTTAAGTAATGTAAAATAATAATGTTAGTCTTATATTTCAGAAAAATTAGATTTGTTATTTATTTTTACATTTTATGGAAGCAGTATTTAGAATAGTGCATTAAAGTACAGTAGCTTCCAGAATTTAACCATGTGATAGAAATGTCGAGAACAACAACAACAACAACCAAAAAAAAAAAAAAAAAAAGTAAAGAAACGTTACACAATCATCTTCAAAGATATACAGCTGGGAGTAATATCCCATTGAAATTCCAGCCCATACCATGAGACTGCCTCTTCTGAATGTATGGTGTCTGATGATGTATGTCTCATTTTGATTTCATATGATCATCTATTTTGATTTCATATGTATTCGCCCTGATTCCGTATGTCCTATTCCTTCCAGACCTTTACATGCTTATCGTCCGATTCCTGGGCAAATTTGGACTCATGTGAACAAGAAGTTGTGCCAGTCTGAAGCAATCCAATTGAGATGTTGATGACACCACTTTAGTCTTGTCCTTCTGGATTGGGTACTTTAGTGGAACACAAACACTTGTTACTTAGGTGTACAGTTTTCTGCATGTTAAATGTTTGGTGCACAGTACTGCAATATATTGTCACACAAATTGATTCTGCAACCATCTATGTAACATTTGTGGAGGTCGCTTGTTGATTCTGAGGGGCTACTGTAGCAATATACTGATCATCAAAAAGGGTGATAACTGAGCACATTTCTCTGGACAACTGTTTGATTTTTGTTTGGAGTAATTTCCTCATCTGAGCAATTACTGGGTAATCAAAGTTAAAACAAAAGAGTAGTATCTTTGATTGACTATCCTGCTTCAGTGCAGTTGACAGCACACTAGCTCTTAATGTTTGCCATTCATCTTTTTTCAGTTATAGAAGCACGGATATTATAAAAAAATTGCCCTCTGATAAAACATTTCATATCAGTATTTAAATAAACCTAAGCACTTTAGAATACTAGCATCTGCAATGATTACATAATTATTATACTTTCAAACAGTATTGTGATTGGCTGTATCATATGACATTAGCATATTGCCATCAGCATCTGTAGCAGTTTTCAGCCACTGAACTACACTTTCAAAAACTGCTAATTGCATCATGTACTGAACTTTTGGAAGACAGTGTATGTTATTATTATAATTATTTAGGAGAATTTTAGATACTGAAAGTGTGGATTAATTTGTATCATTTATTGGAATAATGCTCAAATAAAATAAAAACATTTCTAGGGATATTGTTAGCAGGATTGAAGAATTAAGTGTTCTAGATCAGTTACCATAAAGAATATTTTTTTTCTTTTTTTTTCAAATTTAAGGTGCCTTTGAAAAATATCTTACTGAATTACTGCTTTGTCTATTATTGGACCTTTGGATATCTTGCACAGATTGCCAGGGTCAAGTAATTAATAATAATGTCAAGTAATTAATAAATGATAATGGAATTAATATGAAAGTTGGCAAGAATGGAATACAAATACATATTCAAGAAAATTAAGAGCCCATTACAAATATTGTTCTGTTTATTTAATGAATTTCATTATTTGTGATGCAGTTCAGTCTTCAGTAACTGCACTAAATTTCTTTAGTGTGGTATCAAAAATTTACATTTGTGAAATGCTGGAAAATTGTGACTAGTTGTGCAGTTGGTGCTGAAACAGCTATGTGAAATCTGATAGAAGGTGAGAACTGAAAATGTTAAGGCATTAAGTATAAATTTAAGAATGTAAAATTGCCTTAGGAGAATTGAAAGAAAATTCTAACAGGGACTTACTATCTGTTTCAGGAAGCTACATTATTTATTTGTTTTTATATGCCTTACTTTTGACACAATTAGCTGTCTTGCTTTCCAGTAGTTAGTGAAAATATTCAAACTGTTAAGTGCAAAGCATGTTTTTAAATGTTCTTTGTCAGTGCATTGGCCAGAATGACAAAGAGAACATATATGCAAATTCCTGAGTTATAATATAAAAGAGATGAACATTAATGCTACCGTGTCCAGTTAAAAGATGGAATGATGCTACAGCATTAGTATGATGAGAATTTTAGAAAGGTATCTAATGTGTTAAAAGAAATCACAATGTTTAAATTTTCTTTGTGCTTTTTGATCTGGTATAGTATTTTTGTTCATGTCAAGTTAATAAGGCAATTCAACAGGAAGGCATGTACTTAAATGCTACTGCAAAACTTATAAATGCAAAGATAATTTAGAAGTTCCAGAAAATGGGAAAGCCATGGTAGAAGCAAAGCTATTGGTTCTATCATTAAGGGATCACTTCAGTGACTCTAGATGTAAAATTATAAATTGCAGTTTTCTTATGAAAACATGTATTAGCCTATTTTAGTGGAAGAAAATTGATAACATTTAAACTTTTTCTTTAATGTAACGGACATTGCTGTTAAGTTGAGTGAAAGATTACTGAGGGAAAACAAGTTATCAAAAAGATATTAAAAGAGAAAGATTTGAACAATTAAGTCATTATTCTATTGAGTTCTGTGTTACTCCTGACATTAAGAAGCTTAAGGAAGGTCTGAATAGCAATTGTAAGAAGCTTGAAAATCTTCTAAGTTTTCTGAAACAAAAGTCAGTTTATTTAAGTGTGACAGATCTTTTTGCAGAATTAGAAATTGTATTCCCTGTATTTCCACAAACTGCCAGAAGTTGTCTAAGAACACTCCAGTGTACATATAAAAATAAGTTGGAAGATATTTTCTCAAATGTATCAGTTGCACTGAGAATTTATTTGGTGCAAGCCTGTACTTTGTATCATATTTAATGAGCATAATATAGGTTTTCAAAGCTAAAACTAAAAATGGATTATTTACTGTCTTCGGTGAGAGAAGAATGCTTAAGAAGTCTGCTTTAGTAACAGTAGAAAGGCAGGTTGCTCAGAATTGGTCATTAACAACTTAATTATAATATTTACTCCTGTAAAAGGAAGATATGGAAAATTTTATCTTCTGTAGAAAAATAATTATCTAAGGGGGAAAGTATTTAAAAATGAAAAGAAAGTATTATGTGATTTAATGTAAAAAAAAAAAAAAAAAAAAAAAAAAGGCTGAGTACAAAAGACAAAATTTGTGACAAGAGATAAAAGAAAATTTTGAAATATTTATAGCTTTTGTGTTAGTATATGGCATAGTATTACAAAATTAAGAAAGGTCTAGATGAACTGTGCTTCAAAATATGGTATTTTGGGATAAACTAATTTTTTCATATGTTTTAAAATTCTACATGTTGAAATTGCTCAATGCATTGTAATTTTGAATTTAATGAAAATATGCTAAGTTTTTCAGATTTGTTTTAGTAAAGATAATGTGAAATTTGCTAATAATACAAATGTTACATTAGAGTTTTTAAAATATATTTGTATTCTGTTTGGCTACGAACTATATTATTTTGAAAATTATTATTATACAAAAAATGTTACAAAAATTGCTGGTGTAATTGCTGGTACTCATGTAATAGCTTGCCAGGCCACAGAAATTATTATATTAAAGGAGATGATATTTAGGGGCCCACATGTCCCACCCCCGATTTTCAGTGGAATCCAGTCTTGAAGACTACTTAGAAACACACTGAAATAATTTTTAGTTACTTTACAAATAAGCTTTTAAATAGTTAGTTTCATAATGTACATTATAAAATTAATAATTAGTTAGTTTCATAATGTACATTATAAAATTATTAATTTAAAAATTACTAACATGCTTTTTCCTTATTTTCTCAACTCATAATCCAGATAACTTTACAGAATACAAATCTTCAAGATATCCCATCATTCACTATAGGAAGATTTCGTGGCAGTAAATGCAAATGATTTCCAAACATATTTAATTGAAGACACGATGCAATGGTGTGAATGCTTTTCTGTCTGTGTATACATTGCAATATATGGTATTCCAATCATTGGGAGAAAAACAGAAAGGTTTTTCTCCCAATGATGGAATGCTTATGCCATTGAACTAATAGAAATGACTTTAATGTACATAGCAAAACATCTCAAGACATTCTTTTTTTCCCCTCACAATTGCTATTTATTTAAGTAGTTTTTGAATAGTAGTGCTTATTGATACTAAATTAGAGAAATCACCTTTTATTAAACCCTTCTTTTTAAATTTATTAAGTGATGTAATTTTTTATCTACAGTAAGACCCCACTTAACGCTGTTTCGTTTAGCGCTGTTTCGGTTTAGCGCTCTTTTATTTCAACCCGGGGATAGAAATGACTTTAATGTACATAGCAAAACATCTCAAGACATTCTTTTTTTCCCCTCACAATCGCTATTTATTTAAGTAGTTTTTGAATAGTAGTGCTTATTGATACTAAATTAGAGAAATTACCTTTTATTAAACCCTTCTTTTTAAATTTATTAAGTGATGTAATTTTTTATCTACAGTAAGACCCCGCTTAACGCTGTTTCGGTTTAGCGCTCTTTTATTTCAACCCGGGGATTCCACGAAATCGCTCGCAGCATACGGGGATTCCCCGAAATATTATGCAGCGATAGGTTTCAAATACATATCCAAAAGAGTATACTTGTATTTCTTGTTTGGTGCGTTATTGTACAGACATATTTTGAAGGGGTAAATGTGAAAGATGTCGAAGAAATAATTCAAGAAGCAGCGGCTAGTCTTTCTAATGATGAGCTCAAGGAATTAACTGAACAAGAAGAAAACAAAAATGTTGACAGCAGTGATTCAGAAGAAGAGCAAAAAGAACTTTCGATGGCGTTTGTAAAAAGGAGTTTGTCTACCATAACTGAAATAATGGATCAATTCATTGAAAATGATCCGAATTTTGACAGGAGCTCAAAAGTAAGGCGTGGTGTTAGAGATGCTTCTATCCGTTTATGAAGAAATTTTAAGAGAACAACGCAAAGAAAAAAGGCAAACAACATTAGATGCTTTTGTCACAAAAAGGCAGAACACTGAAAACACGGAAGGCAAACTAAATATGACTGACTTAGAATTTTATTTGTTTTTTTTAAGAATATTCGTTTTGTTATTTATATTTTGTTTTTATTTTTGCAAGAAATAATAATGTGGTATTAATTTGGGCTTTAAGAAATAAATGTTTGGTTTTATTTTTATTAAAAAACATACTTTTTAAATTTAATACCTAACCAATTTCCTAGCCATCTTCCCCTAACCCCAATATTTACATGTAAAGATAGCCTCGTTTAGCGCTGTTTCGCATTACGCTCTACTTTGATGGAACGTATCCCCCGCGTTAAGCGGGGTCTTACTGTACTTGTGTTTGAAAACAAAATTAACTGCCTTTTACATATTTTCTTATGTGGGGCTTTATGGTAATGCAATAATAAAAGGGTACATTCTTTCTTTATTATGACAGATACTTTATGTCTTACATTTTAGTACCGATAAAGATACTGCTGCAAAACCTGAAGATATTCAAAAACCAAAAATAAAGCATCTACCTGCTCAAAATGACAGAGGTAGAGGCCGAGGAAGAGGCAGAGGACAAATCATACAGACACAGGGCTCTGTATTTGGAGAGGGTCTTTCAATGGATATTGCACGAAAAGGTATTTGCTGTAATCTAAAATGTGTGTTATTGGCAAAATAATATTTTCTGTGGTGACACTGCTTAGAAGTAAAATATACATATTTGAATGCTTGAAATATTTTGTGATATTAATTGGTTTATAATTCATGTGATGAGGAATTAAAATTACATTGATAGGGAGAGGATACTTATGTATTAGCATGACTGCCTTAGCAGTTGCCAGCTAAATTTTCATAATGTTCCAAACTCTAGCCGTTATGACAATTTTTCACTTTTAACATTTCAGCAGCATTGGCATTTTCATGTCTTTCTTTTCATAGTACAAATATCAGCAGTTTTTATCAATAATATTTTTGTCTTGAAACAATTTTAAAATATGCACTTGTGGGATTTGCCTGTGATGGAAGAATTATGGTAAAATTTATAGAGGAATGTAGTATATTTTCACATAATTGTTAAAAGAAGCAGTTGTTTTGAATCTATTCTATTAGCAATCACTATGAAATTTGTGCTGGAAGAAAAGAAACAAATTCCCATTCAATAAGTAGAATTATTGATTGATTTTCAGATCAGATCCACTATTAAAATTTAACTGTGTGTATGCAGTAAATAACTTTTTTTGCAATTACAGCTCATTCCTCCCCCCCCTCCCCCTGTAAAAAAAAGTATTTGATGTTCATATATCTTTTACCTGTAGGTTATTTGCTTATAATTCGTGATGGCTGAAGAAATGAGTCTGGGAAAAATTTACTTTCAAAACAATTATCTATTAGTCTGATTTGTTACAAATGTTATTTGAATTCTGGAATTACCAATAAGTGTTATACTTTTTTTTTTTTTTTTTAATCTACTGTCAAACAATTTGTAAATGCTTATACATATGTATTCTTTTACTGAATTGTATGTGTGTATAGCTGATTATGGCAGATTATTATAATAATATTTACATTTTCTTCCATAATTAAAGGCACTATATGGAGTTTACCCTTTTACCTCCATAGTAGGTGGGCACTCATCAAAAGCTTCCTAAAGAGGATTCCCAATCCATGGGAAGAGAACTTTTTAATTGAACTTTCTCTTAAATACCACTCTGCTGAACTGCCTTTCCAGAGTCTCCACTTCCAGAGTATGGAGACCATGAAGGCTGTTGGAGCACATTAAAGCCATTCATCTGGCCACTGTACGCTAGCAACTTGGAAGACATATGTCATTATTTTCCAGGATAGCATAGCGCAGGCTGCTTTTTTGGATAGTGCAAACTGGGTCTATATATTTTATGCCCCCTAGAGCTGAGACTCTCATAGTATAATACCAAGTCAATACATACAACCCTAGGGGGATGCCAGAGTATGGAAAAGCCATCGTGTAAGGGAATTCCATTAGGAAAATTAGCTCACATTTACAAATCATATGGGAAAAACCATAAAAATGCTTATGCAGTCAGCTCATGTCCCCAACTTAAAACCGTGATTGAATTACCAGTGTTCGGCAGTTTTATGCATTTTGTCATAGGCTACATATATTTGACTGTATATCTTTATCTAGTAATATATTATGATAAAAATAAACAGAATGTTTATTTGTACTAAGTTTTGGTAATCTTTGATAAAATTATCAAAAATATTGAAACTAAAATCTGCATAGAATAGTAATGCTTCCTGAAATTACAGATAAATTACCACGGGAGACTATTCCGAGGATAAGAGGACTTAGAGTGAAGCAGGAAAAGATGGAAGTTGATGTTTCTGACATCAGTGAAGGAATGAATAACATATTTACAGATAATGTAAATAGATGTTTAAATTATTATTATTATTCAAATTCAGTGCTTGAGCATGTAAATAAAATTTTTTTTATTATTTTAATTATTTTCAATTAAAAGTAATTTAATAAATAAAAGCTGCATAATTTACATAGTATTTATTTAGGATATTCTGCTTTACTTCATATGTTTTTAATATTTATATGTCTTATTATTTTCAAAGTAAATGTGTCTAATAAAATTAACACTTAATGAAAATTAGTTTTCACATGTCAGTTATATTTAAGAAATTTTATTACAAAAATACTACCCCCCTTCCTGAGTTGATTTATTTTTTTTCCTTTTTATATGATCTATAAATTATATTACTTGTCTGAAGAATTAAAATAATATAATAATTTGCAGTGATTAAAATATTAAATATTTTCTGATTTTCAGCATCCCCACCAAAAACTTGCAAAAGGTAAAAGACATTTTCAAATTGGTGCCATACTAAGAATTCTATAACAGAACAATCAATAAATAAAAATAAAAAATCAAGAAGCATTGATAATAACACTCTTACCTTTTGCCAAAAATCCTTCTGTATTTTTTCTCACTGTTGTTCTCCTCATATACACAGCAATCTGTTTTCAGGGCAATTAACTACTTCCCTTCGTACTTTTCTACAATTTGAATGGAAGTAGAATGTACCTGCAGAGAAATCGATCCTGATAATCATCCAAGTTGACTATCGCTTAATTTAAGGACCATTCTGCTGAAATGAACAAGAAGCTGTACTGAAATCCCGTTAAACATGTAAAAGTTTGCAAGCACATCATCTACCATCCATGTTCTTAATAGATTTATGGGAAATTCTGGAAGACAATTCAACAGACCATACCTCTGTAACTTTTCCATAGAGTTGTTAGATCCACAACTCATATTATGGTAGTTGTAATCAATGCCAAAGGAGTGGTAACTTGTTATAATCGCATATCACTTAATCAGTGATACTTCAGTGTATATAACAGGATCTGGTGCTCATGTCCTTCCAAATAATGGGGGGGGGATATATATGTATAAAGTGATGATTGAATTTAATAGTTATGAATATATTATGAATAAATTATTTAACATTAATTTACGTGTTGGCTCTAAATTCAAATCTTTAAATATTAATACTTGAAAAGAAATGTTTAATTTATGTTATAATTTCTATATTCACTGAATTTAAAAAGTGTATTTTCCCATTAACAGTTTATTGATGATGGAGATGATGACTTTGAAGATGCATTAAAACCTGTACTTTTTCCTCTGCAAAATTCTTTGAAAAATGAAGAGAAGAAGGAAATTAAAAAAGAGACGTTAAATTTTGAAAATGAAGACATTGCGAAAGGTATTATTTGTATTTTTCTTTTGCTTGTGGTATATTTTTAAAAATTCATATCCAAATTTAGTTTTAAGTTCTGCATTAATATCTGCTGCATATTAAAAATGTATTTCTCCTTTAGAAATGGGATATGATATCAAACAAGTTGCTAAATTTATAAAAAAGGAAAAGGATATTGAAGAAGAAGAAATAAAAGAACCTTATGTGCCTCAAAATCGTGTATCCGAATTTTTCACTAATGGTATGTAATAATATAGATATGAAAATTTAAGGTTTGAGAGTTATCGTGTAATTACTTTTGCCACTCATTATCGTGTAATTACTGTATAATAAAGTTGAGAAATTATTTTTCTTATTGAAATCAATATTTTAAAAAAATTATTATAAATTATGACACATTGGGAACGTTATGTTTCTCTAACCATTCCGAAATCTGTTTATCAATTTCACACTGCTCTGCAGTGGGGAAACGTCTGTGGCACGCAATGAACTGGAAGTTGATCTGTCAGCACTATCCTTCTCTTCAGGGCAGATGTTTTTATTTTATTTGGCTTATAATTTCTTACTAAATGTAGTATTTCATCTCGATGTACTCCTTCTTTGATATGATTTACATCAAATTCCTCATCATTATAAATATCATGAATACGCATCAAATAATTTTCTGGTTGCAATTTTCTAATTTCGACTATGCGTAATGTATGCTTTAAGTATGTGTGTGTTGAAAGAAATGTTTAATAAAGTAAACAAATAAATATTAAGCATTTTTTTTCTTTGTAAATTTTGATACTCTTTAGATCATAATTGCTCTTTATTTCATAAATTACGGTTTCATATTTTTAATTTTATAATTTCTGCATGCCATCTTACCGGATTTAAATTGATGATCTATAATCTGGAAAAACCCCTCGTCCGGAATCACCGAAGTCCCGACGAGTCCGGATTAAAGACTTTGTACTGTATATAGAAAGAATTTTAAAAATTCATACCCAATTGACTTTAAAATGGAATGAAATAGTACAAATCATAAATAGCTGTTGAAGAGTAACTGAAGTAGGAGGACATTATTATTTTATACATGAGAAGTTGTTTATCTTGTGTTATTTTACATTTGTTGTAAAATAATTTAAAAGCTTGAATCAGCTGCTACAGATATGAAGTAAAATGAAAAATAATTGAAATTTTGATATTTATAATTGTCATTAATAAAAATTCCATACTTAACTAACTCAGTTAATTATTTGCAACAGAAGATTTGGTACTTTCTGATTAGTGACACACCCAGTTTCAGCAGTTTATATAATAATTTTTTTACACATGACAGTAGCCATGCTATACATGCATGTACTGTGCATGTGTTTGAATATGTGTGTATTTATATGCTTTATATTTAAATTATAATTTTGCTGATCAGCTCCTCTCCCTGAGTTTTTTTTTTTTTTTTTTGGTTAGAACAGATCATAATGAGGCAAGGGAGTTTGTAGAATGCTTGTTTATATTATTATTTACAAATAGGACAGTACCTACAGTAAGCCAATAAAATAGCAAACAAATACTATTTGTCACTTCAATAAAGCCACGAGTGAATCGGTGACTTTTCAAGGGGTGAAGATTTATTTTATTTTACAAGATTCGGCTATTAATTTCCAGGACTCGTGGAATAACTCAGAAGAAAAAAAGGTTAAACACATAGCCATTTAATATGATTCAAAGTAATAACCATCAGACGTAATGCACATCTGTACTCGGCTGTACAAATTTCGGAAAGAAGTTTTAAAGTCCTCTTTTGGAGTGCTCTTTAATAGTGACGTTACAGTTTTCTTGATGGCTTTGATATCCTGAAATCTTGTTCCCTTCAGCGAATTTTTCAGCTTAGAAAACAGGAAAAAGTCTGCAGGTGCTGGGTCTGGAGAGTATGATGGATGCTGCATTTCAACGTCACCATGCTGGGCTAAGAATCACCTCACAGGCAACGCAATGTGTGGACGGGCATTGTCATGTAGCAGCAGCCAACTTCCATTTTGTTGAAAATGAGGCTTAACTCTATGAATTCGTTTTCAAAGTTGGTCAAGAAATTCTGTGTAGAACTGTCCATTGATAGTCATGTTAGGAGGAAGAAATTCATGATGAATGAGTCCATTGCAGTCGAAGAAAGTGATTAACATGACTTTGATTTTGGACTTTTAAAATCGAAATTTTTTTCTGCCTTGGTGAACTTGGAGATCGCCATTCGGAGCTTTGACGCTTGGTTTTAGGGTCATATTGATAACACCAAGACTCGTCTCTTGTGACTATCCTATTCAGAAACCTAGGGTCAGCATCAGCGTTGTCGATAAGTTCGCCACATGCCTCCAGTCTCAATTGCTTTTGTTCATCCCTTAAATGGGGAGGAATGAATCTGGAACAAATCTTGCATTTGCCTAGGTCTTGCGTCAAAATTCGCCAAACCGTCTCTTTGTCCATGTTGAATTCATTGGCGAAATAGTCAATCGACGATTACATTTCACCACATTTTCAATTGCTTCCGGCGTGCGTACAGACTGCGGCCGACCTGTGTGTGGATCATCTTTGACGCTTTCGCACCCATCCCAAAAGCGTTTAAACCATTCAAAAGTTCTTGAGCGGGATAAAGCTTCCTCGCCGTAAACCTGTTTTAACATTTTGTAGGCTTCCGCAGCTGTTTTGTCCAATTTGAAGCAAAATGTAATGTTGATTCTTTGCTCCATTTTCACTTTGACAATAGGAATTTAAGAGCTACGTTTTAATGTGTCTTTCCACGAGAACCACTTACATCAGAATGGCACCGATTGCACTGCACATGCGCAAGAAAATGCTCTTCAATATGCAATCATTAGTTCCATCTTCCGACTTTTCATTCTCCTACAGTTATGTCAGACCTGGAAATTAATAGCCTGACCTTGTATGTGGGGTGATAGTTTTTTCTTGTCATATGTTAAGAATGTACAGTTTTGGAGTTTCTATGTCTTATTTGTGCTGTTAAAAAAGGGATATTCGGGTTTTTCTTCTAGATATACCAAGAAATTTGTAGACTTTTTTTATATAATTTTTTTTACATGAAATTAAATTACATTCATCTCTTGAAATAATTTCCCTCACTTTCTGCACATTTATTCTATTTGTTAGGCAGCTAGTTCACCTGCATAAAATACGTTGAAAGTCATAAAAATATGTTTAACACATCCGCTGCCACCAAAATTTATATATCCATCCTCAGAAGCCGAATTAAAAAAAAGTGTTTTAATGATTAAAAACGTTCCTAATATTTTAATAGTAAAGCCAGAAAAAAAGAAAAACCTTTTATTTTTGTGTTTAGTGTAAAAAAATTTCGGACGCTCTAGAGCGTCAGTGGCACCTCACGTTCAACTTATTATCTGTATGCCACTGACGCTCTGGCGCGTCTCATCATTTTTCTGCGAAATTATTGACACATTATATAAAGTCACAGTTTAAAAGAAATAAAACGTTTAATTGGAAAAAGATAAAGAGAAGTGAAATTTATGGAAAAATTATAAAATGTAACAGTAAAACATAAATATGTATAAATGTAAATGTAAGATTATAAAATGTAACAAATATTGTATAATATACATAAACAACATAATAGAAAATGAAAAAAAAAATTAAACTTATTACAAACAAAATGTCAGTGTAGAACAGTACTGCATAAATATATTATCACTTATGGTATATTTCACAGCAATTCAAGCAATATCCTGGCTTGTTGGGACAGTCACGGCACTCATACGTAGTGTCCGTGCGTTTGCCTTGAGAGGAACAAGATGTACACCTTTTTCTTTGTATTTTGGTTTTACCAGGTGCAAGTTCTCTTTTCTGAAGAGTATGTCTGAGATTCTTGGGAGTCGGCTTTTGTTCGTCTGTTGATGGCAAAAGTGATTTTACAACGTTCAGTCGGTACTCGTAAAGTGATATTTTTTTTCCGTAATCTTCATCGTCTACGCTGTCATAATCAGAAAGATCACTCTTTTCTAGTAATTCTAATATTTCGGCATCAGTCAGTTTTTTACTTACTTTCCTTTTCTTAGGCTGTGAAGGTCCTGCAATACTTGTACTGTCCGCCATTTTTAAAAATGCACAACAAAAAAAAAAAAAAAAAAAAAAAAATTTAAACACAAAATTTAAAAACCACGCACTGAAAATATAAAAATAATGCTTCACTAATGTGCCACAAAAACCTCATTGTTCAACCTCCAAATCCGAACTAAAACTAAAGCAGTTTACTTATCATACTCGATTGTCGCCCCAGAGCATCACCAGCATGGGAGGTAGCGCCATGCTGACGTGCCAGCGCGTCAGTGGCAGCGAATGTGTTAAATGACGTAAAGATTAGTGTCCTCTAGTTATATGGGTTTTCTTATTTTTTAAAGGTTATTGCTATCAAAATTTAGTATAGCAAATAAAATTACAATTGATTAATTGTATGAGTGCAAATTAATTTACTTCTATAGTTTTTCCAATTTTTTTTTTTTTTTTCATTTTTATACTTTTGTACATTAAATAAAAAGTGTATATTGTATTAAAGCCAACCTAAATTACTTAATTATAGCTTGTTGTCTTTTAAATAAATATATTTAAAGTCTTAGCATATTAATTAATTTTATTAACTGTATGCATAATAAGCTTTATGTATTTAAAATAAATTCTATTTTCATGTGTTTCTGTTTAGCTAAACCACAGCTGCTGCTGCTTCAATTTCCACAGTGTGTAACAGCTAAACAAAAGAATGATGAGTTAGATTCTGACCGCCATCCAAAAGCCCAAGTAAATACTGAAAACATCCCATCTAATGATCAGGTTGTTCACTTTAGCTTGAAATTTTAATTTATTTAATTTTACATAAGAAATTCTACATACTGGCCATATTTTATGCTGTGACACATTATGGAATAAAATGCATGTGATGATAAAATTTTATTTTAATCTGAAATTTTCACTTAAATTCATATAGTTTTCCTGGTAAAGTATGCAGACTTTGAGATTTGTTTCTTGAGATATTAAAAACTACTTTTTAAAATTAGATTTTAAGGTGTGAGAAAAATATTATCTATAGAATTAACTTTGGAATATACACTAACTGACAGTAAAAATGCAGCACTATGAATGCATGCACAGAAAGTGATGAAAGTCAGCAAAAGGAGAGACACCGCAATGAACAGTAGGTGTTTATTACAGCATGATACACTTATAAAAAGAGTAACTATACAATAGTCTCAGTAAGAAGTATGACCACTGCTGGCAGCTATGCAGGCAACAATACATCAAGGTACAGATGCAAAGTGTGTTTGGATTGTCTCCTGAGCGATAGATGTCCATTTCTTATTAACCATTTGCCACAGTTCGTCTTCTGAATGTCATAGCGGCAATGCACACAAGCAACATCTGATCACATCCCAGACATGCTTGATGGGAGAAAGATTTGTGAAGACGGGTCCCCAGGGAAACACGTACCTTGCAGGGCATGTTGGCTGATGTATGCCTTGTGTAGGCTGGCATTATTCTGCTGATAAATGGCATTTGGTACTCCTTGAAGGAAAGGTATTGTTACCAGATGGAGCACATCCTCCACAGATAGTTAGGCCGTCATACTATCAGAAACACAGACTACTGGTGATCTGTGGTCATAGACAATGGTGACCCAAACCATGATGGCACTTTATCGTGCAGTGTGGCATTCCATCTTTGAAGCTGAAAAGAACCTGTCACAACATTGCCACCAGACTCATACACATCAATTGTCATTTCTTAAACAAAAATATACCTGTTAGAAAACATTACATTATGCCACTCCAAAGTCTACCTGGCTGTATCCTGATAGCATCACAAAGAGGCATCTGTGTTGTTGGTTCAGTAGCAGTCTTGATGAATATCATGGGTATAGGCCGTCAGTTCTCAATCAGCAAATAATGGTCCTGCTCAGTATGGGAGCATCAAGAGTGTCCAGCACCTGCCACAAAATATAGATGAAAGTGGCTACGGGGTCATCATCACATGCCTGTAAATGTATCCATGAGTGTTAAAGTCACTCTGGCTAACCCTGAAACATTTCATATTCTCTTTTCCCAACAATCTTTGCCACAAGCTGTGCACCAATAGATGCATATAGGTGCCTATCCATTGCAATTTGGTACATGGACCAAACTCCCCTTCTCATCCGATCGCCATAACCCTAGCATACTCATCTGTCTGCTTTGCTTGTCAACATCCTGGCCTTCCCCGTACTGCTTCTTATTAATTTGCAAAATAATTACTCTGCCTGGAGCAACACAACTGCTGTCAATTCGGCAGATTTTTTTCATTATTTGTCACTTCAACCTGCTCGAGAGCACAGCACATTTCGTATCATTTTCATAACTTGGTACAATGTGTCTACCCTGTTGTCTGCATGTTCTTCAGAGCATGTGTTCATGGTGTTGCAATCCTGTGTCGCGAAGTGTATATACAGGGTGATCATAAAAAAATTTTCCTGATATATGAACCACTAGCAGCCTGTCTGCTCTATCAATTGATATGAAATTTTAAATAGTGTTATTTGGAGGTATGCACTTAAGATTGTGATAATTTAAAACAATAAAGCTCTCACAGGTACGGTTACAATGAAAAAATTTTCAAATGTCAACATCCACTTTTTTCGTATGTAAATTGATCACTGCATTGAACAACCATAAATGGCATTAAAATGACACACATATGATGAAAACTGCCAGCATAAAACATTTGCAAAGAAGAGCAGTGTAACAGAAACAAGAGGGGAGTGGAAATAAAAGTACATTGGAATTACAAGTTTTCAAAGTGCCACTTTCATAGACAATGTTGCATTGCATGTGAGAGATTGTTGGCAACAATGATGAAATAACATCACAGGAGGAATTTGTATAACTTCATGTTTTATGGCATCTTTTGTTTCCGACAAATCCTATGAATTTGATGTGTCCACTTCAGATTTCAGATAATCTCAGAACCAGAAATATATTGGAATGAGGTCAGGGATCATAGTGGCCGCAAAACTGCAAAGCTATGAGAAATGACTGGGCTGCAAAATGTTCTTTTAGCACTTGCTGAACACATGTGGAAGAGCCTAATCTGTATCCATACAATGTCAGTAATAACATTTTGCTTTTGAAATTATGTAATTTTGCAATATTGTTCAATACCAATCGCTTGTGATGGAGCACATTTTTATACCTGTATAAGTGACTACTTCAAAAAGTACACACTGAGAAAAAAATGTGCTTGTGTTGCCACACTACACGGTCACTTTAGGTTCATGTAAAGGCTCTGATCCCACATCGTGAGGAGCAACCAGCAGAGGATCGGTAAAGTCGATGAATACTGATAATTCAGTCCGGGGTTCGAATCCTAGTATATGTGCTGGCTGCATGTCCTTTTTCATGGTTTTCCCTATGTGTAATATGTACATGAGCCAGTTTTCCCTGGAAAGTCCTTCACGAAGGTATCCCTCCTTAGGCAGATAGCCCTCGAGTGCTTTACCATAATCTTATATAACCAAACCACATTATGAGGATTTTTGTTTGCCCAGTGTTTGAAGTTTTGGAAGTTTATGTTCCCAATTAGGGAAAAATGCATTTCATCCATCCATAATATCTGCAGCAGCCATGTGTTATTTTTATCATATCTGCTGAGAAAAAAAATTTGCAAAGTCAACACAGTGTTGCTCATCTCCAGGCTGCAGCATCTGGGTGCACTGGAATTGATAAGGAAACATCCACAAAAGACAGTGCAGAAGCTCGAAGGCTGTGGTTTTCAGTACATCAAAAAAATGCAGGCAACACATCTTGCGGTATGCAATAGACCTGCAGTATGTTGTATTATGCACTTTTGCAAAAACTTCAACAGGAACACATGTTCATCCAAATGGCGGTCTATCACATGTGCATTTGGTTGCTTAAAATTATTTTTCCAGATTATGTACAGTTTTTACAGAACATGGGCCTTGCCTTAGCTTATGATTTCTGGGACCAACTCGCAATGCTTCGGATGCATTTTCCCCATTTAGAAAAAACAGCTTTGTTAAATTACTATGTTGTTTCTCAGTAAGTGTTATCTTGTATGCACTTTGGAACACCTGATTTAAGAAAGAGTTTTCCCACACAGTTTATTAATGGTTTCCCACAAACAGTCCTTTGCACATGATTTTCCGTAATTAACGCTTCTGCTGTCTATCCCTGTGAATTATGCAAAGTATGTCAGTGCACCTCCTATCTATGTTGTCATTGGTTCTATATTTTCGTCATACAAGTATCATTCCAGCACTATGTCACTGATCATTTTGCATTGGAAAAAAGTGGTAGTTCCATTTTGAAATTTTTCAGTGTGACTGTGGTTATAGTGATAAGGAGCATGCCTTGTGCCCCTGCGTGTGTGTCGATAAATACGGCATCCGTAGGTAGAAGCGCAGAGAGAAGTCCAGGTGTTCGAGGTCTAGCAAGCATATTTGAAGTCTCAAAATAAAATCAGTTTTTACTGTGTAATATGTCTGCTGAAAGTTCTTGATGAATACAGTGAGAACATTCAATGCAATATGGGCGACTAGAATCCCATGGGATATACAGTGATTTCCACATTAGTGACATCTGGACTTCGCTAAATCAGGTCACGCAAATAGCTCGCAAGTACTTTCTGTTTTGACGGATTACCATCTCAAGACCTCCAAACTAGAATTTATGGATTAAATTGATTTTTTATCCTCTGGATTACAGATGAGTAGCAGTTATAGTTCATTTTATCATTTTGTTTTCTGCTTATTATTTGTATTTTAGTTTCTTTAGTAGAATTTTTTATTTCATTTTGGTTTAAACCTTGCACAATGTCTGATGTATATGCCATCCAAATTGTCTAGGTTTGATCAGTTATAAACTGATCTAGACTAAACATCTGAGGTCTCTTAACCGTTTATTATGTGTGAAAGTACATTTGCTCTTGTCCCTCCCAAACCTATGACAGAATCAGTTACTAAATGTAATTATGTAATTTCTCATCTTCCTCCAGATATTTTTCATTAGTTCAGGATTTACTTATGAAACCAGACCCAACCGATCCTATACAAAGCTTAAAATTGAGTTAATGTACCGATCGGGAGAATAATCTCAGCAAGAAATTCGCCAATTATTATCTGGAGAGAAATTAGGTTCTCGAAAACTTTTGGATTGCTTAGGAATATTAAACGACGAGCGGAATCCTTAAATGGTCCTGATAACTTAGTGTTAGAATTATTCCTTTGATGCTTGCTTTTGGCAGTTTAGTCTATTTTGGCAGCAGTTTCTGATTTAACGTAAGACAAAGCTGCAGAAATTGCCGACAGAATCTTAGAAGTAAATCCAGTCCCATGGACTTAGGCCATTTCTTGTACAGTTGATCAATTAGGCCATTTCTTGTACAGTTGATCAATCAATTGAGAATAAATTGTTTTAAGAAGTAGAAAAATTAAACAAACTTATTGATTGTATTTCCCTTTCTCGAGGTTACTCGCCAAATCGCGGAGATTGCAGTAAAGAAATAAGCAGTTCCAAAAGGAGAGATTTTGTTTGCTGGTATCATAGATGTTTTGGAAAAGGATGTAGAGAAGAAAAGAATAGAGGTGACAACAAACATTTCTCGCTGCTAATTCTTCAGCTGTCCATGTTTATGGTCAAAAAACTCTTTCTTTTGATTTCAAATTAAGACAACAGTTACTTGGGCTTTTCTTATAGCAAATGCTAGTACACCCATTCTTGGAGCAGATTTCCTGCATTTCTTTGAATTGGTGCCTGATCTTAGAAACAAATGTTTCAAATATTTAAAAACAAAGTTTCAGACTGTAGGCTGCATAAAAAATGCAGATATTTATTCAATAAAAACTGTCTTCAGTGATACATCTTATGACAAAATTTTAAAGGAATTCCCTTCCATTACTAAATTACCAAATCCCAACCAACCTGTTAAACACAACACTTCATCATATCACAACTAAAGGTCCACCTGTGGTTGCAAAACTTTGTCAATTAACCCCAGATCACTTAAAAGTAGCAAAGCAAGAATTTCACACTATGATGGAACTAGGACTGTCGAGAAGCAGTTATGCATCCCCTCTTCACATAACAGTTCATTTCAACAGCAATATCACAAAATTTTAAAATGAGCATATTTTTAGAATTATGATCTGGCATATCTGCCAAATGACTATGAATTATGATCTGAGCATATCTTTAGAATCTGATCTTATGCGCTGTAGATAAAAGTGTTTTTCTCCCCGTACAATTTTGCCATTGCTCGCTTTGAAATCATTGAGTTTGTTAATCAAAAATTCGTTGGAAGTGTAACAAAATATGAAATCGATAATAAAACAAATTTCAAATTCCAAATTAAGGCTTCCAGATGCTCATATTCGATTATGTTATTCAAAATTTGATGGCTCTAGGTACCATTGTTTTATCATAATTCAAGAAACATACATACATTTTTGAAGATTCTCATTATTTAATTTCTTTAAATGTAACACAGGACAATAATATTTAGTGGCAACAATTTGAAAAGTGAACCGACATGTAAAGTTTTCATCACAAAATGACAAAATGAAATTAGAAGCCCTTCTGAGCTAACAAGGAAAGGATAAAGCAAATACAATTTTTTACTTAAATGTGTATTGAAATAATTTATATAATACTTGAATATGCTTTTGTTTTATGTAATTTTTTTTTTTTTTAAATTATTTCAGAAATTGAATACAACATCTCTATCAGCTTTACCAGAAGGTCTTGTAGGAAAATTTCAAGTACTAAAGTCTGGAAAAGCTAGATTAGTCTTTGGTTCACTGAATTTTGATCTTGATTCTATCAATTCCTTGTGTTCAAGGCATGAAGTTGCTTCAGTAAAAACAAATTCAAATACTGGTGATATTGTAGTATTGGGAAATATGGAGTGCAAGATGAAATTTGTACCAGATGTAGAACATTTGTTAAGCTTTTAAAAGACTTTCTTGTTGTAAATGAAAGGTCCAGTTGTACAAAAGGGTTCATGTATTTTCTAAAAAAATAACCATACATTCCGGCGTATAATGTGCACCTATAATTTTAAACTACATTTTAAAAATTTTTAGGTATATTCATTATATAATGCACACCCTTTTCTTTAAGAAGAAACCTGAAAGATACATGTGTGATGCTCTTTTGAAGTCATTCATTAGAAGGTTTTCTCCAGATTTTTGAGCAATCATGTGCTGAACTGACAAGCGATAAGGGGAACAATATATGTGTGTGTGGGTGGGGATTTTTGAGAGAGTAAATAATTCTGCAAAGAGAGTAAGCCGTATTCAATGCAGCTGTGCACAAGAATGTTATTTTAGGGTTTGGAAAATGATGATGATGATGATGGTGGTGGTGGTGGTGGTGGTGGTGGTGGTGGTGGTGGTGGTGGTGGTGGAGGAGGAGGAGGAGGTGGAGGTGGAGGTGGAGGAGGGGGGAGAGAATCAGGGCCTTATCACTTCTATTGACGCGCGTGGCTAGGTGGGACATTTCCTAGAAACGAGATTCTTGTAGCACTGCTTTAAACGAAAGGCTTCCGAGAAATGTTTTGTCTAGCTAGGTGAAACGTGTTCCGGCTATGCAAAACATTTTGAAACTTCTCCGAAAATGTTCTGTCTGGAGTCGTGTTCCACGTACGTTCAACCAATCAGACGAAAGTTCTGCTTCTGAAGGATCACGGTTAATTTTCAATATGGTGATGGCTCTCATTGTGAAATCATGGACGGTGGAAATAGATGTCGATTTAATTGAAGAAATACAGAAAAAGCCATATAGTTTTGTAGTAGTATAACTAAGTCATTTTTAAATGTTTATATATTCATTAAATTTATAACTGTGAAAATTTCAGAGTAGATAATATTTATGATGTGCTCGGTGATGACGTGCTATTTCTGATCATTTGTTTACAAATTATTCGTATTTCGTGCTGATAGTGTGAAAAAAAATATTATTGTTATATAATGGAATTTTTTAAAATATGTTTGTATATGCGCGACTTTACTTTTATTACTTTTAAATTGAAATTGCATAATCAGTGATTATGTTAAAATCAGCAAATATGTATATTGATTAAAACAGATTATGTAATAATGAGAATACACATTAAATTTATATGCTGTTATCTTCATGTTATTAATGAAATGCTTTTTAGATTATAAACACATTAAGAACTATATTTTTGTTGTAAATGCTACATATTGAAACATTGGAAATTTATGGATTTATCATTATGAATGATGAAAAAATTTTTATACACATTCATTAATAAAAATCTTATTCATTACGTTAATACTAATAAACATACATCAACAACTTCTAAACCATCGCATCTCTCACGCTGTGTGTAGGTAAATATATGATTTATTAGATGTGTGCATATATATATGAATACAAAAATGAACATTGCCAAAAAGTTTATTTGAAGTTACTTCTAAATCATATAACGATTCTGTAATTGTCAGCAACTGTAGTCATCAGTTCTTTGCACATTATCATGGATATGGAATACACAGTTGAAAAATAATTGAAGTGCATTTTGTGCATTAGGCTAGTCATTAAAATTCACCCACTTCACACAATCTTTGCATTTGTAACTATACTTGGGAATTTAACGAAAAATTTGAGCAAGTAGCCTTTATGAAATATTTAACATTTTGGGGATGAAATAAAAATTTTTGATTCATCCCAAAACAAATATCAGTAAATGGCATTAAATCATGTACGTAAAAGTTATTAAATAAATATATGCATACAAAAATAACTGTTTACAATAATAAAATCAAATATATACAACAGATCATGACAAAGAAAGGACTTCTCTTTTCACGTTTTTTTCACTTTAGCTGTTAGAATCGCCGGAGTCAAGCTAAGTGATTTACTTAATAGCCATCACGTTTCTATTATTTTCCATAACTAACAATAAAGTTTAAAACGAAAAGAGTGTGAGCGATATAAAACACAACACGGAAAAGCAATTGCCACTTGAAAGGAAACGCCACTTTCGCCAATCTGAACGATAAGTGATTCTTGTTTGGCTTTCAGCCTGTTTACCAGGTAAAGATGGTAACCCGATTTCGCCTGGAAGCGCAATACTCAGAATTGTTTCGTCTAACATTATGTTTCAGCAACAAATATCATATGTGATGGCGCTTTTAGGGGTAAGAATGCACTTCCGACACAGAATTATATTACATTTATTTTCTATAAATGAATGAAAGCACAATAATTCACATGCTTTACATACAGGAAATTATCTGATAATGAAAATTTTTAAGTTCATAAGGTGTGCTATTTCTTTTAAATAAACAGCACTTAAGTACATGTAGAAATCTAATTTCTGCATACATTTTTTCCTTAATTTTTAAATGTATCATTTTTATATCTGGTGTAAGCGTGCACCTGTAAATTTTGATTTTATTTTTTGTATTAAAAGTGCACATTGTACACCGGAGTGTACAGTATTTTAAAGAGATTTTCAAAATTAATTCTTTAAAGTGTTTGATTTTTAATCTAATTTATTGTTTTTAAAAATCTTCAGAGTGCTGTCCAGAGTTTTATATTTATTAATGGAGATTAATAATTATAAAAGGATTATTTTAATTAAAATGCATTTTAGAATAAAAATTTGAAATGTGTAAAGAATGGTAAGTGTTCTGATGGAATTCTGTAATTGTATGTATTACAACATATGCTACAATATCTTTTCAAGCATCTGTGATTAACAGTTCTTCTGTAAGTAAATAATTTGTAAATATATATATATTATATTTTAGTTCACATTTTATAAAAAATAATTGAGCATTTTGTAAATACTTTGTATCATTCCTTTTGTCTACTCAGACAGAACTATATGTTGCATACTGTTTAGTTACAATAATATGATGGAAATCCATCTTAATAAATATATTGATGCTGTACTGTATGTTTCATATCAATTTTTGCAGTTTCTCTCCTTTTCCAATAAGGAAGTCAAAACATTAAACATTTATATTCAGGATTGTTTTCATTTTCCTATAGAAAAAGAGTCTGAAAATCTGTATTATTGATTAGTAGCCTTATGGAATTTTAATGATACACAATAAAAAGTGCCTAAATATGAAATGTAAATAAAAAGTTAAGGTTTAAAATCCGTTTTGTGACCTTAATTGAGAAAATTGTTTAATATACTCTTTTCCAGAGTTCTAACAGGTGTTGCATAGTTTTCAGTGCAGTGCTTATCGAAGATCCCACCCCAAAGAGCTCATTCTCCCAGAGAAGTGTTCTTACAAACTTTCTCATTGCAGTTTGTACTCTGTGTGCCGTGGTTCCATCCTGCTGAAACCACACATTCCAAACATTCATTTCACCAAGATTTGGCAGAAAAAAAACTGTTTAGTCATGTTCATTTAAACTGTGACCTCATTTTCTTCAAAAATATAGGTACCAATAATCCACAGTCTCGTCAATGCACACCAAACAGTTATACATAAGCTCTTCAGAAAGTAACTAATGCTTTAGAGAAAAAATAAAAGTAAACATTTTTTATTGCTTACGTTTGAAAGTCACATTATTCAGCTATTTTACTATATAATCTTCGTATTAAGACATAATGACACATGAGCTTTTTATTTCCATCGTTACAATATGTTGCCGCCTGACACTTCAACCATGCATGGACACCTACATGCAGTTCCTCGTCATCATCGAAGCTCTGTGTTGCAAGTCTTCATGTGTGGAAACAAGTGGAAATCGATAGGAGCAGGGTTCTGACTGTATACGGTGGGTGACCATATAACTCCCATCCAAGAGCTGTCAAGTATGAATGGCTGTGTAAAGGCATGTGTTGTCGTGAATGAAAAAACCTTGAAACTCAACTTTCCTCAATGCTTGTTTTGTATCACTGTTCTTAATTTCTTTAATATTTCACAATATCTCTCATTATTTATTATTTTGCCATGTTCAAGGTAATCCTCCAGAAGCACACCTTCCCTGTCCAGAAACATGATCTTTCATGATTGTCATGATCTTTCTTGATGACAATGTTTGCAAAAATTTCCTTGGTCTTTTGAAAGAACTTGTCACACAAGTTCTTTCAAAAGACCAAGGAAATTTTTAGACTCTCTCTATAGACTGCTGTTTTGTCTCACAAGTCATACTTTTTACCCAAGTCTCGCCTCCTGTTGCAGCCCGATCGAGAAATTATTTACCATGTTTGTGGTATGCCTCGAGAAGGGCTGCTGCCATGCATTACTTTTTGCAGTCTTCTGACAAGAGTTTTGGTACCCATCTGCTACAAAACTTGTTATAGCAAGAGATCTTGCATAACAACAAAGTTCCTGAAATTTGAGGGAAATTGTGAAGTGGCTGTTTTCCTGAATTTTTTCATCGATTTTCTGTAAAAGTTCAGCATTTACAATGCTCAGCCAGCCACATCGTGCTTTCTCGTGTGGCCATTTTTAAACATGATGTGCCATTGTCTCACTGTGGCTTTACTCATAATGTTGTTTTCCATACATCATACAAAGTTCCCGATATTTCAATTAGTGTTAGTTTTTTGCAAACGAAAATCTAATCAATGATCGCACTTCACAAGTGGTGGGATTTTCTATTGCAGCATACATTTTAAACATTCACGGTGAACAAAGCAGAGGCAACATGTACTGCCAATGATTACAAACAGATGTGTAAGGATTAAGTAGACACCAAGATGGGGATGCTAGCTGTACCTCTCATCGTACAGTGGCAAAACAGAAGTTACTTTCTGAATAGCCCTCATATATTCACAATGAAGGACTTTTGTGAAATGCTCTGGGACAATAGTATAGTATCACACAGTATCATTCCAGTAGCGCATGTTTTGCCCATTCACACATCCAGAAAGATGAAAATGAGCATCATCACTGAAGCATACAATCACGTCATGAGGAAAAATTTTAACCGTTTGACTGCTACGCGGCACAAAAGCACTGCGTTCATTTGTCTCGAAAACTGCAACACATTTAGTTATTTTAGAATGCACTCATGTTACAAAATACGGGTGAGGTCAGACTATGTTCGTTCACACCCACGGAGCAACAAAGACACACTGAAACTCGCAGCACATCACAGTTTTCGAGACAAATGAACGCAGCACTTTTGTGCCGTGTAGCAGTCAAATGGTTAAGGAATGCCTCACATGCATTTTGCTGAGTAGCAAAAGAATATGCAATGAGTTCTTGTACCATAGCAAACTTGTAAGGATAAAATTGGGAAAAAGAATCCACCTCAGAGAACAATCAGAAATTCCAAGGGCAACTGCATGTTTGTGTGCAGAGTACCACGGACATCATAGAAAAGACTGCCTCAGTGTTTCGTGGGTGATCTTACTGCTGTT